AAACCAACCAACTTAAATTCTATTAATAATATTTCCATCTATTTCACCTTCAATTTAAACAATAAACCCAAGATATCAAAAATGTGCATGTACTCTTATTAACGACTTGATCACCCAAATTTACAATCCCTTCACTAGATCTATTATTAACTAAAATTACACTCCATATATTTAATTTTAGACATACTCAAACAAAAGCCTTTAGACCATAAAGTTGACATCCATAATTCAAGTTTACCTTCAACTCCCTCTCTAGTCTTACCAACAAGAAGAATACCATCAGCAATAAGCATACACCATTATATAACCTCTTGCAAATGTCTAGTGAGAACATACATGACTAAAGTAAATATATGCAGGCTTAAGGCTGATCCTTGATGTAATCCAACTGAAATAGGAAAATACTTGGTCGAACCATCTTGTGTTTGAACACAAGTAACATCTCATACATACATATCCTTAATGACTTGAATAGAAGCATTATTAATCCCTTTCTTTTCTAGAACTCTCCATAGCACTTCTCTTGGAACTTTATCATATGATTTCTCTAAATCAATAAATATCATATGTAGATCCTCCTTATTATCTCTATATTTCCCCATCAAACCTACCAATAAATACATAACTTCCATATTAGACTTACTCGACATGAATCCAATTTGATTTTGAGAAACATTAATATAATGTCATAATCTATGCTCCATAACTCTCTCCCATAGCTTTAAAGTATGACACGTTTTGTTGCTTCATGGAATATTCGTGGCAGTAAAGAAATATAAATTTAACATTTTAGCTTTGTACGAAGCTTCAACACACATACACATGAGAGAGAGGGTGTAGCTTTCATAAGAGACACCAATATTTTTATGTGAAAAATCCTAAAAAGGGGAAAACCATGGGGTCTGGACCAGTTTGAATGAATCCACTATTATTTGCAATCGATTACAAATAAGGCCTTTTCTTGGGGGAAGGCCTTGGCTTGATATAATAAATATAAATCATATAACGTGCATTATAAGATGTGACCTGAAAGAATAAATATTGATATGTTTGTTTGGTGGAAAGAACCATAATCGATGGGCAATGAAGGTCGGAAAGATCATTGTCTAGCAATGGAGGTTGGAAGGACTGTAGTCGGTGGGCGACAAAGGTTATAAAGACTGTTGTCTGACAATGGAGGTCCGACGATGGGTGGAAGTCTAACATCCGATAGAAATCGGGTGACGAACGGAAGTACAACGTTGGGTAGAAGTCTGACGAAAGTCCAGCGACGGATAGAATTCCTGCGTCGGGCATAAGTCTTACGACTGGCACAAGTCCAGCATTGGGTAGAAATCTAGAGATGGGTGGAAGTTCAATGTTGGGTAGAAATCCAATAACGGGCATAAGTCTGGCATCGAGTAGAAATCCAACAAAAGTCTGGAGACGGGCAAAAGTTTAGCGTCTGGTAGAAATCTGATGATGAGTGGAAGTTTGACGTTGGGTAGAAATCTGATAAAAGTTTGACAGCATGTGAAAGTCCAACGTCTGATAGAAATTTGACAACCGATGAAAGTTCGGTGTGGAGTATAAGTTCGACGAAAGTCTGATGACGGACACAAGTTTGACGACGGTTGGAAGTCTAGCGACGGGCAGAACTCCGGAGATGGGAAGAAGTTTGACATTGGGTATAAGTTCGGAGATGGGTGGAAGTTTGACGTCGGGTAGAGATCCGACAACGGGTGGAAGTTTGACGTTTAAAGAAATTCCAGTGACGGGCAAAAGTCCGACGATAGGTGAAAGTCCAACATCGGGTAGAAGTCCGACGAAAGTCCAATGATAGGCAGAAGTCCGACGTCGGTAGGCTACCTGGTGGAAGTCTGGAGCGGTTGAGGAGGAGTTTGGCGGCAAGACAACTAAAGCTTATCTTCTTCATTTTCACTACAGGAAAACAGCTAATTTCCGACGGAATTTCCGACGAAAATAAATTCGACAGAAATTCCGGCGGATTTCCGACGGAAAATTTTTTATGGAGAACCATCGTATTTTTGAGGTTGTGAGCGGGGGCTGTTCGGGAACGCCTGAGGTTGGCGTGCTAAGGGAGTGCTTGGGGGGGAGGCGCTCATGTAAGATGGAGTAGGCGGGCAGCTTTTTTTTTTTTCTTATTTTCCGGCGCAAAAATAATCCGCCGAAAATATATCTCAGACGAATTTTTCGCCGGAAATACGCAGGAAATATTTCTGGCAAAATATTTAACGCCGGAAGGGCTTTTTCGACGCGTGGTTTACCGTCGGAAAGTTTTCCGCCAGAAATCCGCCGGAAATTAGAATTTCCGGTGGATTTTAGCCATTTTTCCGACGAAAATGACCGCCGGAAATGACGTTTTTTCCTGTAGTGTCTCTTCCTTGCTTCTTTGCTTGTGCATCCTTTCTACCCACTTCATGAGAAATGAGGGGTCTATTTATAATTTTCTAAGAGTGGTATGACTAGTAAATAAGATAAAGATCAAGAATACATCGGGAGTAGTTTGAATGGACAGCTGATGTTGAATCCCTTGATTATTGATCGTTTATTGGGCATTTGAATGTCTTAATGATATCAAAATTTGGCGATATTAGGCTCTTTGGATTTGTATCGTCGAGCCGCTCGATTTGATTATAAGCATGTCACGTTTGGAAATTATTTGTTAATCCAAATTATGGATTGAGCCTTCCAAATGTGCTTCGGGTTTTTGATTTGGACTCATTTCAGCTTAGATTGAGTCAAATGTGGTGTCATTGGGTTCGTATTTTCGAGAAGTTCAGTTTGATTATAAATTCGCTAAAATCAGAATTCATATGTTCTCCGTACTTTTTGAAGTTTCCAACCTAATTTTGCTTCGAGAATTTTTGCCCGATCAAGATTATTTTTTTGATGATATATCAACATTAACTTAATTCCTTTATAATTTGCAAAATTTTGTACGTCACTTTTATTCTTTAAAATAAAAATTAACACACATTCTCCACTCATCTAGCATCTTTTTAGTTTTCAAAATAATATTAAAAAGTTTAGTAAGCTTAGGAAGTTCTTCATCTCCTAAGCATTTACACACCTCTATTGAAATATCATTAGGTTCAATAGTTTTTCTACACTTCATTTTCTTTAATGCCTCTAACTTTAGTTTTACTAGTGCGTCAATAAAAATAAAAATCTTTATTTTCATTTAGGATGCTAAGATCTCTAAATTAAATCACATTCTCATAATCTTCATTGAAAAAAAAATTATAAAAATATCTCATAATCTTCATTGAAAAAATTAATTAGTTTTTTTTTTTCAATCTCCTTAATATCTAATATATTATATAAATCATTAAAAATTTAAAATCTTTGTATCGTATATTGTTTTCGTAGACTCCTTACGAGTCTCTTTATATCTTTCTTAATTATCAAAATTTTTATATCTATACTAATTTATAACAAGTCTTCATATTTTTATCTTTTCTTACACATTTGGATTACATCACAAATTATTTTTACTATTAGAAACTTTTTTTCCTTTAAAATTTAAAACAATCTTTTGTAACATTTTTAATATTACTAACTATTTTTTTTCGCATAACATAACAGATGATACATATATGCAATAGAATATTAAAAATATATCTAATCGGGTGCCATTATAAGTAAAAATGATAAACCAACGGCTGCTCAAAAGAATGGCAGAAACACAACTCTCCTTGGCCTATTGGTTGAGAGCTTTGGCTTCCAACTAAGAGGTTCAGGGTTCGAGTCTATGTGTATGCGTTGTGTGTGTGAGTTTGCCTTAAATGACCTAAATATCCCAAAAAAAAAAGAATGGCAGAACACTACCGTTGCTTTTAAAGACTACTTTTAATTTGAACCGCTAACTAATGTAATTTTCATATAGTTATTGGCTTATAACACTATAATAAATCTCATACACATAAGAAATTTTTGGGCAACTTAAAAAAATAGTTATTTCCGATTTCTATCAACTTTTCCTTCACAATGAACGGTTGCCAACACCCAAGCATTGGCGATCTTCCGTTACAAATGTCATTTCTCTGTCTAGGTTCTGTTCTTCTTGCATTTATTCATTGAATGTGGACGTTTCTGGATGTTCAAGGAATCTCACCGTTCATTTGTTTTCTCTAATATATTTAAAGTTTTTTTTTTTTCTTTTTCTTGTGTTTATAGCATTTCCTCGATTGAGTGGCATTCCCCATAACCCACGCTCACAGTTTCTCATGTGATGAGGTCCCCTCTCTTTCTCTGTGTCTCGTTCTCTGTGTTTTTTCTTAGGTTTATTTTGAAATTTTTGAAAAAAGATGTCTTTTTTATGCCTAACGATTGATTTGCATGCAAAAAAATTGGTCCTTTTTCTTGCATGTCCACCCATAGTTTTGGCATTGCTCCTGAAACGTTTTGTAGAATGATTTGAAATGTTTTCTTCTTTTTTTCTCCAAATGTGATTAGATTACGGAGAGGCCTAAACTTTTTTTTTTCTCCGTTTGTATATAATGGCTTTTTGTTTGTTTGTTTTTTAGATTCTAACTTCCAACTATAGTTTTTGACATTTTGTATTCTGAATCGCTTTGAAATGGCGTCTTCTATTTCGTAATTTTCTCCGAATATGTCTAGGGTTTATTGCTGAAGGGGTTTTTAGCTGAGCGAACTGCAACAATTTTTTTCTCTAAATTGAATGTATATTTTAATTGTTTTCCTTCATAATCTTAAGATAATCGATTGTATTTCCCCTTCAATTTACATTTTTCAAGATTTACTTAGATTTTTTTTATTGGTCTGCGGTGAAGGCTGATCGAACTATAGAGATCAAGAAGTCTATCAAAAAATGAAATAATTTTATTATTACAAGAAGGGTAGATACAGCCGGATCATCTGCATGTCTTCTTTGCATGTTTCTTTCTTCTTTCTTTGATGATTTGACAGCTTAGACCACTTCTTCTTTGTTATTGCATTAGACCCCAATTCCATTCATTTGTTTGTAGTGTTTTGTCTTATTGCTATTAGCGTCTCTGTAAATTCTATATTTTTTATCGGTTTCCTTTGTTTAGTTTGAGTGTTTTAATGAGAACTTTAAATGGCTGCAATGTCATTATTTGTTTATTAGTATTGCATTATTGTTAAGTCCTATAGATCATTTTCGTTTTGTTTATTTGCTCTTGTTTATTTAAGTTCTATTTTGCCAAATTCCCAACAATTACATTTTGCATGCTTTGTTTTAATTTGCTGCATGCTTCAGCTATATTTCTCAGTGATCTGATTTTATCCTCTAATGGTAGTGAAATCTTATATTGTAGGTAAAACCTCTCATTGCAAAGTGCCCCAGTCAATTTTGTATATACAGAGATGGATCATCCTGTCACTGCAAACGAAGTCAAGAACTATGAAACAGATGATATCAGTCAACATGAATCAGAGCAACAAATGGATAAATCTCCATCAACTTACACGGTTGGATGTCCTCCAAGAAAGAAGTTCCTTAAAGAATTCGCTGATGGATTAAAGGAAACGTTCTTTGCTGATGACCCCTTGAAACCTTACAAGGACCAACCTAAATCAAAGAAGTTCATGCTTGGTTTGCAGTTTTTGTTTCCAATCTTTGAATGGGGAAGAAATTATAATTTGATTAAATTTAAAGGAGATCTTATCGCTGGATTAACCATTGCAAGCCTCTGCATACCTCAAGTAAGCTTATGCAATTGAATTGTTTGGTTCACATATATCTGTTGTATAATGTACTACTATTAGAAGATGTCAAATTTTTGGTTTAATGACATATTAAATAAAATTTAATTAATGACATTTAGGTCTTATTTTAATAAAATCATGTTGGTTAAATTTGTTGCATTTAAATTCTAATCTCTCTGACGGCCAAAATAAATAATAGCATAAAAGAAAGAACATAATCATAAGTGTTGGATCCAAGATTATCCGTGGAAGTTACCAGAGTTTACTAGTAGGCAAGCTTAAGAAACTAGAACCTAAGGATTTGTGGTGAGTGTTGGAAATATTTCGGAAGAAAAAAGATAGATAGGCAAGCAATGGGCTATGAAGATTTAAGATTGGAAAATAAAAGAATAATTTTATTACTAAGCTTTTGTGGAGTAGTTTTCAGCTTAACTTACGACATCATGGCATTACCTATTTATAGATATGAAAGCTAAATTTAGATTATTCTATAACATGGAAATTCTAGAATCTTCTTTATTTATTACAAATATCTTAGATCCTTCCACCAACATTACTCTAGAGTCTTCTTTATTTATTACAAATATTCTAGAATCTTCTACATTAGTAAAGATTTTATTATATATAGAATACTCTAGAAATGTTGAGAAATGAGCATCAAATTTTATCACTCGATGCAAATTTTTATAACTCCAATCATATCGTACAATTGATCAAACTTTCCTCATGGAAGTGCTTTTGTGAATATGTCTGCTAATTGTTCTTTAGTCATTTAGTCTTACAGTGTTTGAGTTTAATCTCTCGGTTGCTCTCAGCTTCTCTCATGAAGTGACATTTGATGCCAATGTGTTCAGTTCTACCATGAAACACATGATTTTTTTGCCATTGCAATAGTTGATTTGCTATCATAATTGATTTCTATAGCTTTTTCTTTTGGTTCACCCATGTCTTCAAATATGCGTTTTAATCATATAGCTTGACTTATAGTCATTACTTATGCAATATATTCGGCTTCGACTAATGATTGTGCATATGTTTCTTGCTTTTTTGATTCCCAAGAAAATATTCCAAAGCCTAATGTGAATGCATATCCTGATGTGGTCTTCATATCATCCAGTGATTGACTGCTCAATCACTGTTAGTATCTTCCAGTAAATTTGAGTTGGGAGTAGATTCATACCATATGCCATAGTCCTTTGTTTCTTCCAAATATATAAGGATCCTCCTTTTAGCTGCACTTTGATGAATTTGGCTTGGACTTTGCATGAATCTTGAAGGTAAACTTGTTGCATGCATGATATCTGATCTTGTAGCTATTAGATAAAGCAAACTTCCAATGAGATTTTGATAGATTGTAATGTTTACTTTTGGTGCATTATCTTCTTTCATGAGTGACTTGTTGTTGAGTGGAGCAACTACTGCCTTGCAACCATTTATCTTATATTTCTTTAACAGACCTTCTGTAGACTTCTTTTGTGAGATGAAGATCTCAGCTTCTTTCTGACTTCTATCCCGAGAAAGTAGTGCATCAGACCTAAATCGAACATCTCAAATGTCTTCATCATATTTCCTTGAAATCCTCGATCATCCTCTCATTGTTTCCTGTATAGATTAGATCATCTACATATAGGGAGAGAATGAGTGTATTGTTTATACCATGAGTCTTGAGTGTTGGCTCACTTTTGCTCCTCCTGTAACCTTGCTCTAGGAAATAGTTGTCGATTCGGTTGTTGCTTTAACCAATACAAATCCTTCTTTAGATTCAGACCTTTGTCTTCTTGTCCTTTTATAATAAATTTTTGAGGTTGTTTTACATAGATCCGCATCGCTCAAGTTTAGAATTTCAAAAATTTATATATTTTTATTTTAAAATTAGTTTCATAATTTTCAGGTTATCACACTAATGTTATGTCATTGCAAAACAGGATATTGGGTATGCAAAGCTTGCAAATCTAGAACCACAGCATGGTCTTTGTAAGTATTTATTAACATCACTTAATGACTATTTGATAAACTGTCTACATCTTCATGTGAATAAGTAGTCGTAACTTTTTTTTTTATTATTATTTTCTTCTTCAATTTTGCAGATTCTAGCTTTGTTCCACCACTTATTTATGCATTCATGGGAAGTTCAAGAGACATTGCTATTGGACCTGTAGCAGTAGTTTCTCTTTTGTTAGGGTCCCTTCTTCAAGATGAGATTGATCCCATAAATAACAAAGAGGAATACCTAAGGCTTGCATTCACAGCTACCTTTTTTGCTGGTATTACTCAAGCATTGCTAGGATTTTTAAGGTAAAAAAGATAAATAAGATGAACTTCTGAACTCTAGATTTAACAAAAGACTAGTACGTTTTGATCTTATTCCTGTGCTTTTATTTACGTTTTGCAGACTAGGATTTCTTATAGACTTCCTTTCACACGCTGCAATAGTTGGATTTATGGCTGGGGCAGCCATTACAATTGGCCTTCAGCAACTCAAAGGTTTCCTTGGCATAGAGAAATTTACAAAGCAAACAGACATCATTTCTGTAATGAAATCGGTTTTTCATCCATTTCCTCACGGGGTAATTTGTTAAGTCATTGGTATTCTTGTTTTTAATCATAAAAAATAGCATTTTTTTCCTAGTTTTCTTGGTCTCAGTCCTGAACTGTTCCATTTATTTTACTTTTTTTGCTCAGTGGAACTGGCCAACAATTCTCATTGGAACAATATTCTTGGTATTCCTTCTTGTTGCTAAATATATGGTAAAAATCACTGCAACATTTCTGCTCAATTTTATTGATTGGCATATTATATTGTCTTAGAACTAACCAAATTTCTATAAACAGGGAAAGAAGAACAGAAAGTTATTTTGGCTGCCAGCAATTGCGCCGCTCATCTCTGTTGTTTTAGCGACATTTTTTGTCTATATTATTCATGCTGAAAGATACGGAGTACAAATAGTGAGACATTTTACACAAATCAAAATTATTTCGTCTCCTCTTCATTTTTTTTTCCACTATAAGATACTAAACCAAATGTTATCCTGTCATCTTCAAGGTGAAACACATAAAAAAGGGAATTAATCCCTCCTCTTTGGAGCTTATATATTTTTCGGGACCCTTTCTAGGGAAAGGAGTCAAAATTGGCATCATTGCTGGCATCATTGCTCTAACGGTACTCTAACGAATTATTAAATCCTACAATCTTTTAAGAACATTGCCTTTTTATTTGCTTCTTACGGCTTGAAGTTTGACAGGAAGCTGTGGCGATTGGAAGAACATTTGCATCCATGAAGGACTATCAGTTGGATGGAAACAAAGAGATGGTTGCTCTTGGGACAATGAATGTGGTTGGCTCGATGACTTCATGCTATGTTGCAACAGGTACAACATAATTATAGCTTCATGCTTTCTGCATTTTTTGTGCATATTTAGGAATTGGACAAGACTCGATATTATGTTAATAGTTTATTAATTTGGCGGGGACTTCGTGAGTATATCAACCCTCCTAGAAGTTCATCTTCAATGCACAGACATTCACAAAAATCATTAAATTTCTTATTGACCTGTGGAATTGATTATCATCACAGAATTTGTGTTGCACGGGTTTAGTGTAAATTGATTTCTGTGGTTACAACTAGTTTTCATTTAGACGAATAAGGCAGGATTTGAATGGACTTTTGACCATAGTATTTCTGCAAAATGGTAATTCTCAAGCTTAAAGAATAATAAATAGCATACATCATATGAGGCAACATTATAATTTTCTGGTAGGCCTATTAATGACCTAATCTCAAGTCGAGTAGACCCTGACTGCACAAAATTGGTTCAAAATCATTCAATTCAATCTTGTGCTGAGCGAAGTTTGATCACGAGCTAGCTACTCAATTCAAGTTTAATCTGAGAGTTAGATTTCGTTTAGGACTGCTTTTTTATTGTTTCTTGAAGTAGCTTTCTCGTATAAAAATTAAATTTTTTTACTAAAAACTACTTTAAGAAGCATTAAAAAAACCGTCCCAAACGACCCTTAGTCTTGATTCATTAATTGGTTTGTGAACTACAATCCGAACTCTACAGGCTAAAGCCGATCTGATTTTTGAGTTATCCTAAATCCGTGGCCATTTTGAGGTGATACTTACATTATAAATTTAAAAGACCAAATTATAATTTTGAAACTGCTTCACATTAAGTTTACTTCATTTTAGTTTGATCAGCAAGGTCTTAACTTTGTCTCAGGATCATTTTCAAGATCAGCTGTCAATTACATGTCTGGTTGCCAAACTCCAGTGTCCAACTTGGTTATGTCTGTTGTGGTGTTCTTCACTTTATTGCTTATCACACCATTATTTAAGTATACTCCGAACGCTATTCTATCATCGATCATCATCTCTGCTGTAATTGGTCTGATTGACTACGAAGCAGCTTTTCTCATCTGGAAGGTTGATAAATTTGATTTCATTGCTTGCATGGGAGCATTTCTTGGTGTGATATTTGCTTCCGTTGAGATTGGTCTCTTGATTGCTGTAAGGACAAAGTCACAACTACATTTTTTTTTCTTTTTTTAATTTTATAATGAGTTATAAAAAAAAATAAGTTTATATGATTAATGAATTTTCTCATTTTTTACTATGAAATTTATGCTTTATAGGTTTTCATATCATTTGCTAAGATTCTTCTACAAGTGACAAGACCAAGAACAACTATACTGGGGAATCTTCCTCGAACTACAATCTACAGGAACATTGAACAATATCCTGATGCCAACAGAGTTCCAGGAGTCCTAGTTGTGAGAGTTGATTCAGCTATATACTTTACGAATTCCAATTATGTCAAAGAGAGGTAAAAGAAAAAATAGCTACTTGAATTGATATCAATACATTATTTATGTCTGAAATCTGATAGGAAACACTGGTAGATCTCAAATATTTCCTATCAATCTTCGGAAAACAGCGAGAAAACTCTTCCGAACTCCAATGAAAATCAGGGAAAACAATAGATTTTATACAACTAACGGAAGAAAAACAAACAAGATACAAGTGATCCTCAATTCGAGAGGAGGATCGATTGCTCCCAATCTCTAGACTCCGCTAGAGCCTAAGACAAACTAATAGATCTCAAATTTCAGCCAAATTCAAGATGTCCTAACCCTAGAAAAATAAATTATTTAATGCATATAATTCAAAAGGAACTCTCTAAACATTCCCTACATTCAATTTCCCTTTTAAATTCCCTTCAAAACCCTTCCTAAATGGCTCTATGAGGATCGGCAGCCAGATCGCACCTACAGGAAGAGTTGGACTCTTCCGCCTCTATTCCACTGGGCCGGTCTCTCATGTGTTAGAAGAATGTAATAAATAAGTATTTCCTTATCACGAATAGGAGATTGACACGTGTACTAGCTGTTAATTACTTCTCCTCTTCTCTATTTATATTTCTCAGTTCTGTAATCAAATCAATGTTTTGAATAATAAGTTTTACTTCTTTCCTGTTCGTCTTCGAGCTTCTTGAACCCTCATTGGGTTTCTTCATGGTATTAGAAGAAAGTTGATCCCGGGCTCTTCGCATGGCGACTCAAGCATCGGCGTCTATCTCATCCACGGCGGCCACTGATGACACAAGATCATCAAATCCGGTCATCTCTCATTCTCTTAAGTTCGTTATCTCAAACTTAAAATTCCTCGTTCCGCATTCTCTTACTCCTGATAATTTTCCAATTTGGAGTACCCAAATTGCAAAATTATTCAAGGCGAATGGCTTCGGGCAATTTTTGGATCCAAATCTTGGATTGGAAAATCGGGATCCAAATCAAGATCCTCAATCTTGGACGGTCACCGACCAAAACTTAGCAACCGCTATGTGCTCTACAATATCTCCTGAGGTTCTTCCCTACGTGATTCACTTGGATTCCACGAATGAAATCTGGAAGACGTTGCACACCCGCTTTCAATCATCCAACCGCTCCAAAGTAATTCAGCTCAAAAACGAGCTGCACAACATCTCCATGCAGCCTCGTACCATGACTCAATATCTTACCGAAGTCAAAAAGATCGTGGATCAAATCTCGTCAGCCGGTTCTTCGGTCGATCCAGAGGATGTCATAATATACATACTAAACGGGTTGCCGCATGCGTATCTTCCATTCACTACCACCATCCGCACTATGCAGAGTTCAATGACTCTTGACAACCTATACTCGCTTCTCCTAAGTGAGGAAATTCACATCAAATCAGCTGCTCAAAGATTTCCGGTCGCTCAAGATCCTCAATCCGCTCTGTTCTCATCCAGAGGTCGAGGTCGAAGAGGCAGAACTCGACAAAGCAATCCAGTAACCGCGCACAACAAACCTCCTCAATCAGTCAGCGTTCAATGTCAAATATGTAAAAAGAAAGGCCATGAAGCGGACGCATGCTGGCATAGACTCAATGCCAACTACGTTCCGAATCAATCACTGTCAAAGACCAACAATGCTCTTCTTGCAAACAATGAAGCAACCTCTGGCACCGATTGGTATATTGATTCTGGAGCCTCATCGCATATGATGAACTCGACAGATCATCTTACCAATTACAATTCCTACTACGGTAACGATATGGTTACTATCGGGGACGGGAGGTCGATACCAATAGCCCACACGGGATCGGGTATCCTTCCAACCCCGTCCAGTAAGCTTCTTCTCTCTCGCTTATTGCACATTCCATCTCTCTCATATAATCTTCTTTCAATATCGAATCTTGTCAGGGATAATAACATTTCAATTACCTTTGATACTAATGGTTTCGTTTTTAAGGATCTCAAGAACAACCAAATAATTCTCAGCGGCCCTTGTCACAACGGGCTGTACAAGATCAACTCCACTACAACACAGGCTAATCCCACTGCTCTATCAGCTGCAGGTCTCTCGGTCGATTGGCACAGACGGCTTGGCCATCCCCACCGCCGAATTCTTCAGCAACTCTCGGGTTCTCATTCTTCTATCAAGTTACAGTCTATTAATTCTACATGTAATTCCTGTTTGTCTTGTAAGGGACATAAACTTCCGTTTGAACGCTCTACGAGCACCACTAGCTTTCCGCTTGAAATTGTTCACTCGGACGTGTGGGGACCCTCTCTGGTTCCCTCACACTTAGGCTACAATTACTATGTAATATTCGTAGATGACTTTTCCAGATTTGTTTGGTTATTTCCGATTCGCTTTAAAACTGAAGTTACCAACATCTTTATCGATTTTACTACTTTTATCTAACGTCAAACAAATCGTAAACTCAAAATAATACGAACTGACGGCGGCGGTGAGTTCGTCAATCATAATTTTCAATCATTTACAAGAACTGCAGGTATCTTGCATCAAACTTCGTGTCCATACACGCCTGAACAAAATGGATTAGCCGAACGAAAGCATCGTCATATAATTACTATGACTAGAACATTGCTTCATACAGCCGGCTTACCCATGTCATTTTGGATGGAGGCTGCTCTTACGGCAACATACCTCATTAATCGTACTCCGTCGATCACTACCGCAAACATATCCCCTCTACAACGCATGTTCAACATCGCTCCGTCATACGACCATCTCCGAGTGTTTGGATGCGAATGTTACCCTCTGTCTTCACCTATAAACCGTAACAAGCTCACGCCAACGTCTGAACCCTGCTTGTTTATCGGTTATTCAGACACAATGAAGGGATACAAATGTTTAAATTTGGTAACAAATAAAGTTGTCATATCCATAAATGTCAAATTTAAAGAACTTGTTTTTCCCTATACAAACAGGAACAATATCACTCAACCGGTGTCCAGCACTACTCCTCCAAATCTGCTCATTCCTGCTTCTATGTTTCGTGACACGTCTCAAACGAATACTCATACTGCTAGCACAACTCAGACGATTCCAGCTGCAAATAACACCACAGTGGCTTCTACCGAAGATCACAGTACAGCTCAAGACGTTACAATCTCTCAACACACACAGGATCCTACATCACGCCATCAGATGATTACGAGAGCCAAAACTGGTTCACTTAAACCAGTTCAAAGACTTAATCTACTTCACAATCAACATCCTCCTCGTGCACCCACATGTTACAGTGACGCAAGTAAGTTTCCTGAATGGCGGCATGCCATGGCGGAAGAATTTTACGCACTACAAAAACAGGGTACATGGGAACTAGTCTCGCCACCACCTACCGGTTCCATTCTCGGCTCAAAATGGACATATCGGATCAAACACAATTCAGACGGATCGATTGCAAGATTCAAGGCGAGATTAGTAGCCCAAGGAAATCAACAAGAGTATGGACTAGATTATCAAGATACGTTCAGTCCAGTCGCTAAGCTGCCTACAATACGCATCTTACTTGCAATCGCAATATTTCACAAATGGAAAATACATCAACTTGATGTATCCAATGCCTTTCTGCACGGCGATATTAAAGAAACGGTCTATATGCATCAACCAAAAGGATTTGAAGACTCCGTCCATCCAACACATGTTTGCAGACTTCGGAAGGCTATCTATGGACTCCGACAAGCACCTCGTCAATGGTACACTACATTCACTAACTATCTTACGCAGGTCGGGTTTCTTCATAGTCAAGCCGATCCGTCGTTGATGATTATGCATAAAGGAAATCTGCAAATATACCTACTAGTATATGTAGACGATATCCTCATCACTGGCAACAACATCAACGTCATGCAAGCAATAATTGAACAAATGAAACTTAAATTCACGATGAAGGATCTTGGCGCGCCAAATCAATTCCTAGGCATCCAAATCGACACCAATACTGATAAGTTTTTTCTATCTCAAACTTCTTACGCAATTTCTATCGTACAAATGGCCGAATTGCAAAAATGCAATTCGGTCTCTAATCCCTCTTTCACCAAACCCCCTGTCACAGATTTGAACGATCGGCCTTGGCTGGACGCTCCAAGATACCGCAAAATAATAGGTTCTCTACAATACTTAACTATCACGAGACCAGACATCTCCTATGCGGTTAATGCTCTATCTCAGCACATGCACGAACCAAGCAATCAACATATGCTCATGCTAAAGAAGCTGTTACGGTACATACAAGGAACTGCAGATTTTGGACTGCCAATCACCAAAAACGATCTCAAGCTACGCACATTTTCGGATGCTGATTGGGCGTCCGATCCTATTTCTCGTAAATCAACATCCGGATTTTGTACGTTTCTTGGTGATACACTAGTCTCTTGGACCGTGAAGAAGCAACAAACGGTTTCAAGATCATCCACAGAATCTGAATACCGTGCTCTAGCCTCAGCTACAGCGGACACGATTTGGATAAAACGGCTGCTAGCTGATTTCCGTATTCACCATCAGCAACCGGTCGACATCTTCTGCGACAACATGTCCACCATTGCCTTGGCCAACAATCCCGTCTTCCACGCTCGCATTAAACACATCGAAATTGACCAACGATTCATCCGCGACCACATTCAAAACAACACTATTAGGCTACTACCTATCAGCACGACAAATCAAATTGCAGATACTAACAAAACCATTATCAACTTCTCGGTTCAAAACATTAAGATCCAAACTGACTATCGCTACTCGATCATCAGTTTGCGGGGGAATGTTAGAAGAATGTAATAAATAAGTATTTCCTTATCACGAATAGGAGATTGACACGTGTACTAGCTGTTAATTACTTCTCCTCTTCTCTATTTATATTTCTCAGTTCTGTAATCAAATCAATGTTTTGAATAATAAGTTTTACTTCTTTCCTGTTCGTCTTCGAGCTTCTTGAACCCTCATTGGGTTTCTTCACTCTTCAGGCCAAGTAATTGAAACCCTGCTGTCAAATATGGCCAGTGCTTCTGTTTCCCGGGGACAATTATTATGTGCGGCGTCCGGATTCATTCGGAGGTGAATTCAGAAGTGTCACATCACCCCGACTCTGGTGTATCCTGGTGACGTGGAACGTCCAGATTCGCCTCCAAACGGTTCGAACACCGCACATAATAATTTGCCGCTTCCAAGGGCATGCGGATCATCTTGGCCACCAGTTTCTGATGGCAACTCCTTTCTATTATGGTTGTTTCCTTGGCTGCCATCAGAAGCAGACAGGTCTCCAGAACTGAAGCCGGTGCTTGGCCAAGGAACTACCATAGTGACATTCAGTCAGTGAAAAGATTTATAAGCTCGTGCAACTACGAAAAAACCTCTGGTTCTGCTTCTACATAGGTTGGAGTCAACATCATATCACCATAAGTAGACTTGAGACTCCTCACTTACTGACAGTGGTGGTGGCTGGCGGTAGGGGTGGTGGCGGGCGGCGGCGATCAAGTGAACTTACTTTTGACATAATTGGTTCATGCTCAAAATTAAGCATGTTTGATTTGGAAGGCTATCTATGGACTCCGACAAGCACCTCGTCAATGGTACACTACATTCACTAACTATCTTACGCAGGTCGGATTTTGTCACAGTCAAGCCGATCCTTCGTTGATGATTATGCATAAAGGAAATCTGCAAATATACCTACTAGTATATGTAGACGATATCCTCATCACCGGCAACAATATCAACGTCATGCAAGCAATAATTGAACAAATGAAACTTCAATTCACGATGAAGGATCTTGGCCAACCAAATCATTTCCTCGGCATCCAAATCGACACCACCACTGATAAGTTTTTTCTATCTCAATCTTCTTACGCAATTTCTATCGTACAAATGGCCGAATTGCAAAAATGCAATTCGGTCTCTAATCCTTCTTTCACCAAATCCCCTGTCACAGACTTGCACGATAGGCCTTGGCTAGACGCTCCAAGATACCGCAAAATAATAGGCTCTCTACAATACTTAACCATCACGAGACCAGACATCTCCTATGCGGTTAATGCTCTATCTCAGCACATGCACGAACCAAGCAATCTACATATGCTCATGCTAAAGAAACTGTTACGGTACATACAAGGAACTGCCGACTTTGGACTGCCAATCACCAAAAGTGATCTCAAGCTACGCACATTTTCGGATGCTGATTGGGCGTCCGATCCTATCTCCCGTAAATCAACATCCGGATTTTGTACGTTTCTTGGTGATACACTCATCTCTTGGACCGTGAAGAAGCAACAAACGGTTTCAAGATCCTCCACAGAATCTGAATACCGTGCTCTAGCCTCAGCTACAGCGGACACGATTTGGATAAAACGGCTGCTAGCTGATTTCCGTATTCACCATCAGCAACCGGTCGACATCTTCTGCGACAACACGTCCACCATTGCCTTGGCCAACAATCCCGTCTTCCACGCTCGCACTAAACACATCGAAATTGACCAACGATTCATCCGCGACCACATTCAAAACAACACTATTAGGCTACTACCTATCAGCACGACAGATCAAATTGCAGATACTAACAAAACCATTATCAACTTCTCGGTTCAAAACATTAAGATCCAAACTGACTATCGCTACTCGATCATCAGTTTGCGGGGGAATGTTAGAAGAATGTAATAAATAAGTATTTCCTTATCACGAATAGGAGATTGACACGTGTACTAGCTGTTAATTACTTCTCCTCTTCTCTATTTATATTTCTCAGTTCTGTAATCAAATCAATGTTTTGAATAATAAGTTTTACTTCTTTCATGTTCGTCTTCGAGCTTCTTGAACCCTCATTGGGTTGCTCTCGCATGGACCGGTCTAACAAAATCCTGCTTGCATGTATCTCAAGTATTTCTAAAAAAGTTCCATGTCTTGCTTGCAGAATCTTAAGATGGTTGACAGATGAAGATGAGAAGCTGAAAAATAAAAATATTCCACAGATCGAGTTCCTCGTTGTGGATATGTCCCGTGAGATTCCAAGCTTTCTAATTGTCCAAATTTTATCATTTTTTTGGGAAGGTGATTTCTAATTTTGATGATTAAATGGCCAAATTTGCAGCTGTCACTGACATTGACACTAGTGGCATTCATGCCTTGGAAGACTTGTTCAAGTCCCTACAGAAAAGGGAAGTTAAGGTGAGAAACATAAAACTAGCTCTCTAAGCTCAAATCAAGGACTATTGATTCATAATCAACTTAAAAATTATTAAGATTTCACTTCTTGTCCTTACTTCCTTGGATCCAAATTATTCAACATTTCTTCTTACCTTGGTCAAATTTTCCTCAAAAAATACTGATTAAAAGTAGAAATTAACTTACATTTTTTTTGGATGCTAAAGTGTCCCTGAAGACTCTCTGTTGCATTTGCTTCAGTACTGTTAAATTCAAATTATGACTTATAAATTCTTCCTTTGCCTGTGACAGCTTGCTCTTGCCAATCCAGGGCCTGTGATCATGGAGAAGCTTCATGCTTCAGAGTTCGTGGAGCTGATTGGCAATGATAAAATATTTCTTACTGTAGGAGATGCAGTGATGAACTGCTCCAAGAAATCAAAAGAAGATGTTTGAGTGAAGAGAAATTATTCCGTGCAGAGTCCGGACGGTAAAGTACCGTCCGGATGTGAGTGTACACAGTATTTGTACACACTGTGTATAAAAAAAAATCAAATTATGTACAAAATTATACTCAGTGTACAGTGTGTATATACTCACATCTGGATGGTTCTTTACCACTCAAACTCCGCACGGAATAATTTCTCGTAAATGACAAAAAACATAAAAGAGGTTTCTTTCAGTTGCAGGCTTTTTCTCTGCAGAGCATTATTATGAGGATCCAATATAATGGTACAATGCTAATATAGAAAAAAGTGGTTTCTTGAGCTGATTTAGGTTCCGTTTGAGACAATTTTTAACTGCTTTTTAAAATAATTTTTTAATTTTTTTTTTAAATCAAGGGAAAAAGAATAGCGTTCAAAAGCTCTCCCAAACGAAACCTAGTGGAGATTATGAACTGATGTATATGCATGGGTTGAATGTCTCATCTCTTATTTTTTTACTGAATACTGAGAGTCTGAGACAGGCAGCCTTGGACTATGGACATTGCTAATAGTGATAGTACTGTAATCCCCCTAAGTATATATGGAGGATATAATTGAGATCTCTAAGCAGAAATAATGAAAGTTTTGAAGCTGAGTCATGATGGGTCAGATTGGTTGCTTGTATTAGATTCTTTTATTTCATCGATACCATAAGGGAATAACTTTAATTTAAACTGCAATGGCTTTATTTCACGTATAATTACATCAAAAATAAAATCATTTTTTTAACGAGCTTAAAAATAATCTTATAAATTTCCATAGATTTTGTACTAATTCAACGCATATTCGTTAAGAACTTCATCAGCATTAAGGTATGAATGAGATTGAAATGTTCTTCCCAGAAATGCTGAAGCCATTGTTCAATAATTCTTTCAAAAAACTTAATGCTGATGAAGATAGCTGTGAGGACAAGATCAAGCCTATCATAATGTTGGTAAACTAAGCTCTGAGTTAGCTATGACTCTGAGTTTGATTAATCATTCACATCTCTAGCTTTGAGGAGAGATTATTACGTGCGGAGATCAGATATAAAGAATTGTTTGGTTTTGTCTATGTAAATAATAAAAGTGTAATGCTTGCGTTTTTATTGTTCAAAGAGACAAATTGGATAGCTCTCTGCGCTTTTATATATATCTCATTTGCAAACTTATCTATTATGGATCTGTGCTAACATTTAGATCAGCTAGGGCTGCAAACGAAACGAGCCGAGCTGAGCCGAGTATGTGAGTGTTCATGTTTGTGTTCATTTAATATCAGGTTGTTCAAGTTTAGTTCATGTTTGTTTGAGCTTTATTGTTTGTGTTCATGTTTGGTTCATTTAAAATAATGAGTGTTCATGTTCGGTTCATGTTCAGCTCATGTTCGTTCGTTTGGTAGTTATCGAGCTTTAAACAAACAAACATGAACGAGCTATAAACGAGCTCTACTTTTAGATATTCATTAACTTAACAAATGAGCTTTATCGAGCTTCCTAACAAACGATTACATCGTGCATGTTCGCGAACATATCTAACGAATTTCTTTTAACTATCAAACAAACACGTTCATGAACATATCTATAAACAAACACATTTATAATAAAAAGCAATTGCCTATGTAACAAAGGCAATGATTTATAAGCAAATCCCTTCTTCTGAGAATTTTCCTAATAGCAGCATTAATAAAGGCAAAGAGTTATAAATAAATAGTCATATAAAGCTACAATTACTTAGACAATAAGTCAAGTAATATTTGATACCTGCAGCAATCATTGATTCAGTAACAGCTAGTGGCCACAAAAGGATTGCTCTTGCTTCTAGAGAGGTTTTTTTTCGTGCTTTCTTAGTAAAAGGGTTTTCTTGTTGGACCTATTCTGTTATAACTGTTTGACTTGAAGATGACCCAATACTAATTTGAACATCATGAACTATCAATCCTAACTGCTTTGGTGAATTTTCAGACATATCTTTAAAAGAGAAGTCAACGATTATATTAAACATGAATCATATTTGCTAGTGCATATATTCAAGTTCAAAATCGAACCCGAATCGAGCTTTTATCGAGTTTCTTATCAAGCTTAATGTCGAGCTTGTTCACGAACTTCAAATGAAGTTGTTCACGAACTTCAAGTTCAAGCTTGTTTATTTAAGAATCGAGTATTTAAAATATTGTTCAAGTTTGTTTGTTTAGTTAATTAAATGATCACGAACGAGCTTTAAATGAATCGAACAACGAGTAGCTCGTCGAACGTTTGGTTCGCTTGCAACCCTAAGATCAGCATTGTGAACATGGTTGCAATTAAATAAAATTATCCTATAATTATCCTTAGATACATTAAAGAGTGTAAGTTAAGCGTCAACATATATATCTCAATTTATAAAATGAATGACAAATATCACCATTAATTGTCTACATAAGTATTTCTAATAACAATTTGATGAGACCATACTCCATGAGAGATCCCCATTTAGGTAACATCTTGATGATGATGATGATGATGATGATGATGATGATAATAATAATAATAAAAGAGAAGATGGACTAGCATCAATCAATCAACTTTGATAAACTAAAAATAACTCCGTCCTCTAATGATGATGATGATGATGTACTATTCCTCTTCTTCAATAGTGAAAAAAGGAGAATCTTTGTAACAATTGCTACATAGTGGACTTTACACCTAGGTTAGGCCACTGGCCCCGTGGGTTTTTCCCTTTTCGGGTTTTCCACATAAAAAATTCTTCTGCTCTTATCACTTTTATCTATTCGCATTGAATCTTTGCACTCTACTAAGACGTAAATCATAAATTCTACCAACTCAAACTTTCTAGCATGTAACAGTTTGACGTCATTTGTGAGAAATAATTCTTAGCTAGGGGGCAACCTTTGCTGTAATATCGAAAGATCATTCTCGTCAATGACCTAGGCATGGTTAAAGTAACATGGTCGCTTTGTCATGATATATTATCAGGTCTAAAAGAATTCCTTCAATATAAAGGGCAATTCTATTGCAACTCAAGCATAAGTCATTGTTGTATTAATTTCACAGAAGTAGATTATACTGGGGGACAACTTTGGCTGCAACCTCCAATGCGACAATGGCCAAAATATTTTCCTCTAATATTTTTATCGTATGAGATAATGTCATTGACAACCATTTTTAATAAATCTCCCAACAAATGCTAGGATATTCAAGTAAATTTCAAGATTTATATAGTCCCCAGCTGGACTTCCACTCCTTATGCAAGGTCTTAATCTCGATCTCAAAAGACAATAATGATATAAAGAAAGACCAATCTGCACTTTTGATTTGGTATACATGCGGCGTTCTCCCCACTCCCAATCATGGTATAATCAATCTCAGGGGGTTTGATTCGACCTCGTCCATACATGTTAATGTTATCAAGCAACGCTCTAACAAAAACCTTAGATAAGTTTAAAAATTCTTGGTGAATTCTCTCGACCTCTTCCACACATACTAATGTCAACAAGCAATGCTCTGACAAACAAACAATGATAAGTAAACATCCTTAATGGATTCTTTCAACCTCTTCCATAGAAATGCTCTGACAAACAACCTCGGATGTGGCAAATATCCTTGATGGATTTTTTTTGCCTCCTTCACACATGTTAATGTCATTGAATAATACTCTAACAAATAATCTTAAATAGGTCAAATATCCCTTGTGAAATTTTACAATCTTTTTAATGCAAGTTAACAACATTGAATAATATTTTAACAAATAATCATGGGAAGGCACACCCATGAGGTAGTCTCAAAACATAGATGTACATCTAAAATCTCAAAAGATAAAAGCCTCATAAGGTATATGATTATCTACAAATTTCAGAAGACTAAAAGCCTAAAAATGCACAGGCACATTAAAGACCTTTGAAAGTTGCTAAAAAACTCAAAAGGCACAATAACATTAAATTTTGAAGTTTAAAAGTATCAAAAGGTGCACGTACATAAAAATCTCAAAAGATTAAAAACCTTAGAAGTATTTGATTCTTTAAAAGTCTCAGAGGATTCAAAGCCGCATAAGGGATAAATTCCTCTAATTTAGTTAATTTAATTAGGGGAAAATATATCAAGACATATCTCAAAGATGTATAATTGACTTAATTAGTTTCTTTTGGAGGCAGGTTCTGTTTAAAGCACAATTTATGGTTGAATGTTATAACACAATTTTTTGTGGAACAAAGGGCATTTATGTATGCAGGACAATTCATTTTGTATGTGAATGTTCAATTTCATTTTATAATTTATTCTGTGAAATCACAATTTGAGCTTTTCTATGTATAGGCCAACACAATTTACAGTTACGTTTTGGCTCGAGAGCTAAACATCTCTTATCATCAGAAACAATATGTTTGTATAATTAATAGAATAACGAGAATAATTGGAAGATATGGCTAAATGAACTGATTGAATGATAAAGAAAGAATGTTTTATTTATACATGTGACTGTTACATATAACATATATTAATTTATAGATTTTCTTATATGATTTGCAACATATTATTTCTCTTTTATCTTGAATTAATTTCAGTTGTATTATTTTGATCACTACAGAAAAATAACTCATTACAGGCGGTTAGTTCTGGTGGTTAGCATTAGATTTCCGGTGGTTTTGTAAAACACCAGCGGCTTTTCGGCGGTTCGAAAGTTGCCGGTAAAAACTGCGTAGGAAACCTTTTCCGGTGATTTTTTTCATCGGTGATTTTTTGGAGGTGCAAACTGTCACGACTCGATCCGGGACGGATCCCGCTCGCACCGGGTCGCGGCACGGAAACGAACAAACTGACTGACCAGGATCTGGCTTTGAAATTTGCTTACTGAACTAAATCTTCCAAATTATTTCAACTCAAACACCAACACACAAAACAGACCAGAGCTACTATGAATCATCAAATGCAGCGGAACAAATCATCTATATTTTTCTTTCTTTTCCTCAAAACAATCATCTACAAATACGGTACATGGCTAACAGAAGAAATACATAAGAAAAGCCATGACCGTACAAAAATCAAAAGTACAAAAGTACCTATCACAGATCGGACTCTGAACTCTAGTCCTGGACTTCCTTCCCTTTCCCAGAACCTGAAAACCACCAGAAAATGAGAGTGAGCTCAACAGCTCAGCAAAGCAACAAACCTCCAATCAAAATTCTCAGAATCCAAAACCAAACACATCAGACCCAAATCCAAATCAGAAACCAAAACAGAATCAGACAGATATCGGAATCTTCGTACAGAAATCATAATCGGACAGTTCATAACAAAACAGATCAAATCAGAACAG